ACCCCCCCCCCCCCCCCCCCCCCAAAAAAAAAACATCTTTACAGCGTTCTTTCCAACTCATCATGCCTTCCCCATTTTAAGCCCCCAAAATGGAACCCTGATTCCCTTTTCTCCATTTTTGGATAATTTCTCTAATTCCCATTCCCATTCCCAAACCTCATCGCCTCCCTAAAGCTCCCCCCTCCTGAGCCCTGCCCATTAGCAACTTCTTGAAACTCCCCCAACCCCACCGGCAACTCCCCAACATGCAACTCCCCCAGCTCCCCCAGCTTCCTAACATCTCCCCCGGCAGCCTCAACAACCTTGACCATGGCCTCGGATAACTTTCTCCTCTGCTCCGCCGCCTCTCTTTCCCTCCGTGCTTTGGTTTTCGAAGAGCCCGAGGGAGCGACGCCGGACATCAGAGTGTGGTGGTCCAGGGGAGTGAAGTTTACGAAACCTATTCCTCCTCCTCCTCCTCTGGCGGCGGCGGCGGCGGCGGCGGTGGCGGTAGCGGAGGAGGAGGAGGGTGAGACTTTGCTGTGGGAGGAGGAGCGAGGTTTGGATTTGGAGGGGGAATGTCGAGAAGAAGAAGATGGGTGTAAAGAAAAAGATTTAGAGGGGTGGTGGTGGTGATGCTGAGGAGGAGAAAGCGATGATGCCCCTGGGCCGTGGTGGGCCTGGAGGTGGGCAGGCAAAGGTGGCATTGGCGGGTATCCCATAACCCCCCTGTGGTGAGGATGGAAGCCACCATTCATGTTCATGTTCATGTTCATGTTCATGTTCAGTGGTGTGAACCGTCCAGAGCTATTGGGTAGCGAAGAGGTAGATGCCGAACTGGTCAATCCCCTACTGCGGCTGCTTCCGGTACCAGAACCCTCGGGAACAACCCGGTGTCCACTAGCGCCGATAGCCGCAGCAAACGCACTCGCCGAAGCCCCCAGGTCTCCATGCGACGCGGCGTGCGACAGTCTCGATCCGGACATGGAAGCTGATGAAGCGTGTCCTCGACCGGTAAAGGACTTGCGCTTGCGAACCGCGGCAGGGGACATGAGTCCCAATCCTACTCCAGCAGCACTCGTTGTTGTTGTGGAATGGTGGTTGATGTTTTGCATCGAAGCACTCCGACGATGGAGGCGTTGACGGCCGCTGCCGCTGGCCGAATCTGCACCTGCAACTGCCAAGCTGCCCGAGTTGGGCTGTTGACCGCCTCTGGTAGGACTCGATTCCCGCGATGAGCGGCTGACGGCGCGAACCTTGCGTGGGGAGGTCTGGTAGGAGGGAAGTCGTGAAGCGCCCGAGCTGGGAGCGCGGGGTTTAGGTCTTCGAGACCTGCCGCCGCCGCTGCCGCCGGCAGTGGTCGTACTGGTTGACGAGGAAGACTGCGAAGGTAGGCTCTCGGGATTGCCACCGCCGTTGGAAATATATTGCTGTTGTGCTAGCATGAGCTGAGCGGCTGCGTATGCTTGAGCTTGCGCCTGAGATTGGTTTGGTTGTTGCTGCTGTTGGTTGTGATGCAGTAAATTGCCACCAGACACCCGAGACGAAGTAGGCTGTGGCATGTGAAGCACGAGCCCTGCTGCGTCTAGTCCGAAATGATGGTCATCGAGGCCTCCCTGGTCGTGGAGCTGCTGGAGAGCCATTTGTAAGTTCAATGTAGCCTCGCGGGTGTTGGAGGCATTGGTATCCATGTGGAAGGAGGACGATGGGTCAGGATCGGTATCCATGGCATCTTCTACGGCTTGGTCCCACCAGTTGCTGTCATTGAGGGTGCTGATGTAGAGGGGGTGCAGTTCGCAGGCTGAAGACGATACACCACCGACGGCGTGTAGAGTTGATGGGTTAGCAGGCGTAGTCGGTGGTGGTCCACTAACGCTGAATTGCCACGAATTATCAGCGGCGGTGGTGACGGGGGCCGGGATACTCTGGTGTTGCTGATGAGGTGCCTGAATTGGCGTGTGCATCGGTAGGGACAGGTTAGAGGAGATGTCCATGAACGGATCGTCTATAAAGTTCGTGTTGAACAGGTGCGCATGGCTGCTGTCGTTGTTACTGTTTTGCTCAGAAGCCATCTGTCCCGTTAACGGTGGGGACAGCGGCATCTCCGGCCTTACAAGACTGAGGTTGTGTGGCCTTGGACGAGCCGTCATCTTGTTTGGTGACGTGCCCATAGTGGAGGGTGTTGATGAAGTTACTGCTGGCACTGCTGTTGTGGCAGGATGCTGTTTTTGCTTGTTGCCATGTAGATTAGCCGCCTTGTGTCTGAGTTTTGTGTAAAAAGCCTCCAGCCGAGACTTGCGCGGGCTGGTCGAGGCTGACCCAGGCTGAAGGTGTGGCGAAGGAGGGACCGATGCAGACGATGGTGGAAGATGTATGCGTGGTGAGCTACTGCCGTTCACCGTCAAACCCTCGAGTCTCCGCAGCTCCGAGTCGGAGATGGAACCACCGGAGCCCGGTCCTTCCTGGTAACTGGTGCCGAGGATGGAAGAAAGTTCTCTTTGTCCGGCTACAAGGAGTTGGTGTTGTTCACTGTACTGACAATCCATGTTACTGAGGTCAACGTGCGATCCTGCTCGGACTTGACGGTGCTGCAGCGGGAAATTGGCGGAAGAAAAGCGAGCGAGACGTCCAGAAGCCGAATTATTAGCAGCGCTACTCGCTCGGCCGTGGTCCCCTACGCCTAACGATTGCTCGGCAGAGCGATGGTGATCAAAAGGAGGGCAGCTCAGTGAGGTGAGAGGTGGCGACAAGGAAGATTCGTGAGCTTCACGGCACATGTTCTCAAATCTCCCGTCGCCTCCTCCTTCTGCTCCTCCTTCTTCACCCGTAAAAGGTGGAGAGGGTGAATGGTTCGGGCCATGGTCGTCCAGCACCACAAACTGGTCAAAGAAATCTGCCGATCCCACGTCGTCCGTCACTGCGTCCTGCCAACAGAAGGCGTTGTCGCCTCCTTTGTTCTCGCCGAGGGGTAAATCGCCAACCGCGAAGGACATCCCTTGGACGCTAGCCATTGTTGGTGGGTGCTGCTGCTACTGCTGTTGCTGTTGCTGTTGCTGTTGCTGCTATAGGGTTGGCTCATATGAAGCTTGTATGCTGCTATATGGTTTTCCAACCGAATGTGGGCGGTGTGTTTGATAATAGCCTTGTTGGTGACGGGATGTTTTTTGTTATGCTGCCGATGCAAACCATGGCGAAGAAGTTGTTGACTGGGAAGCAGGAAGCATAAGGAGATGTCTGCACTGGCCGAAAAGTCAACAAAACCAGTTTGCCCCGGCAACGAGAAAATATGAAGCCAAAATTTCATGTAAGATTGAAGAGTGAGAAGAGGCATGTGCTAGACATTTGTATGCGAGCTTGCAGGGGCGAGGAATGCTGGTGCGATCCATTCCAATTCCTCTCGAGATCTTACCGAAGAGGACATGGTGGGCACGATTCTTCGATGACATGGTATAGCTAGGAGGGAGCTCGGGGCAAACACACCAGGATCATAAAGAAAACGAATCCCTTTCTTTGTCAAACTTTCAGCAGAGTCGAGGGAGTCCAGAGGGCGACGTCCTTCTAGCTCGCCTTGATACAAAGAGCACCGCCCCACACCGAGGTCTGGAATGTGCCGTTGGGTGTAGACTGAGACAGGGTAAAGCATTGTCGTTCCTTGTACAAATAGCAACATGGTTGTGTTCCTTCCCCGATCCTCCCTGTTTATACTGTGCTGATTGAGGTTGTCATCGGCAACAGATGAGAGAGAGTCTCTTGCGCAAGTGTACTGCCACCGATCATGCCTAGTCGTCAGCAGGGTCCTATTCCCAATACAGGGAGGAAAAGGCGCACACCAAGTTTGTTTTGTCACATGGGCCCCCGAACTACGGGACGGTGTGTCATCACTTGTCATTTATCGATGCACCCCAAGGGATGAGCTACCTATTTGTACCCGTCTATCGACAAAGGAATAGAGGCTGTGAGCGCCCGTCTGACAATTGTACAAAACAATCCCGTTATGTTCCCAATCTGGAGCATTTCATGCACATAGATGCCCCTCGTTCAACGAAACTCCCCCAAAATAAAGTCGACCGCCATGCTCGAGCCGTTATGTATAATGACGGTATGTTATTCAGGAAAGCTTTTGCGTCCCAGGGTGCCGAACCCCGACCAAAATGACCGTCCCAATCCCCCCCCCCCCAGTCAATTTTAATGAATGTCGCATACCCTTGACCAAACCCATCAATACCCTCGTAGCTGCACGATCCTGAATTCCACAAATCGTGATTGAAAAGCATGAAAATGGTTCCCGCTTTCATGTTCGTCCTGCAGTGTGCCTGACATTGAAGAATGGGATCCCAGCTAAACTCCTTGAAATGCTCCAAAAAAATTGACTCCAAACTTGACCCATGCGTTCGTAGAATTGGGGTATAAACATTGAAAAATCTCTCACGCCCTTACAATAGTCAATCTATACGCCTATAGCCATCATGGCGGCGTGCGATATGACGATGATGGTATCGCTGGCACGTATCGTGATGGCAGTTGTTCCGAGGGTTGTACAGGCTGTGCCATGGGAGACGAGTTGGTCGAGTACGCAACCGACGAGGTCACACTGCCTGTTCCGTGCTCTTTCCGCCTGCGCATTCGGGGCCGACTCCGTACCACGGTTGCGCATCGCATGGCTGCCTCGGCCGACAACTGGTAATGGAGAGGGAGACTCCCCTCGACCATGTGTTTCCGGATACCCGCCGACCCACTACCGGCGCGCCGTACTTGTATCGACTCGAGCAGTGCCCGTTCTTCCTCCAACACATCAACGGTTCCGTCACGGTAGCGCTCGTCGACCTCCAACTCCATTGATGCAAAATCAAAACCGTGGTCAACGTTCAAGTCGTCTAGTTTCGATAGAACGGGTGCTGAAGGCGTTGGAAGAGGAGCACTTCGAACGTTACACTGGGTACCAGTTTCGACCTTTTCCTCCACCAGGGCCTGAATGCTCCGCGATTGTGTATGGGCTTTATGTTCTGATTGCCTCTTTTCGGGTCGCTGTCGCCTACTCTCCAGTGTGTTTCCTGACGACGATGACGACGCATTTGGTATCGAGGATGTGGCACTGGAAGAGTAATCATTCTTGCGGAAGGAAGGGGGAAGTAGAGATTGAAGGTTCGCGTCTTCGAGTTCGAATGCATCATCCATTTCAATCCCGTCATCCACCTCAAGGCTGCCGATTCCCGCCCAGGATTGATGATCGGCAGTAGTGGTGGTAGCGGGATCGGGTACCAGCGACATGGCAGTCGGCGGTGACAAGGGCTCCTGCTGCTGCTGCTCCTGCTCCTGGGACGGTTGTTGCTGCTGTTGCTGTTGCACAAAGGATTTGGCCTCCAGTTGAAGAGCCTCCCGTTGCAGGTTTTGGACGCTGAGCTCGTGTGCCAGCTTGTCGACGACATGCCGAGCAGATGGAGATGCGGATTGTGGAGCCGGTTCTGTCGCTAGCGGCGAAGGTTGGAACGAAGGCACTGGAGCTGCTGTGGATGCAGATGCGGATGCGGATGTGGATGCAGGTGCTGAAGCTGTTGACGTCGCTGATGTTGTTCTTGCCGCGCTTGTCATGGACCACGATGTCGATGGGGTCGAGGTTAATGAAGGTCGTTTCTGAACCTTGTGGTGCGACGGCGGTCGTTGTCGTCGCCGTGCAACGTGGTGACGCCGTACATAGTTGCGTTGCTGGCTGCGTAATTGCTCTTGCATCCTCACATGATGGCCGATTGGGATTCCGTCTAGAAGGAAGCCATCGACATCGGGGGCTGTGTGATTATCATCATCGCGTGTGTTAGTCGGCTGCTCAGCGGCAACTGGCTGCCCTTGATCCTCCATCGAGTAGTTGGGATCAAACATGGTTTGTCGAATATGGTGTTGAATGGGAAGCTGCCGACCCAGCTGGATGGGTTGGAGTGGCGAGATGTCGGGTCTCGTCGCAAGCAAAAGAACTAAAGGTCGAGTCGCCCGGCCGGTACTGTCAATGGGCAGTGAAACAGTAGACGGACGGGAGCTGGTACTTGTGTGTTGTGTCGGTGTATGTTTGTTTGTAAGAGGGCAGATGGGTGCGAAAGAGACAAGGGCGGTTAGGTTGTAACTGAATGCCTTTGCTATCGAGACATGTGTGTAGGTAGAGGTAGATAGGTAAGTGAGTGGGTAGGTAGATAGAGAGACCGGGAGTTTTCCCCAGTTTGATTTGCGTGGAGCTTTGTTGAGGAGAAGGTAGGTAGGTAAGGAAGGACCTCTCCTCTGGACCTGAGCCAAAGCGCCGGGACAAATCCGAGTTGTCGGTAGCGATGGGACAATGTCGGCCGTTAGTGTAGACCCAGCAGTTGGCCACTCAGTGAGCCAGTAGACCCAAGCAGGAACTGGCCCCAAGCGCCAATCGAAAAGCTGCAAATGGCAACAGGGCACGTCTTGGTACTATGCAGTGTCGATGTGTTGGGTGCCGTGCTGTTGGGGGTGGCACCGGGAATTGATTGATTGACGTTTCGTTGTATGTGGTGTTCCGCATGTCAGGTTTTGCTTGGGAAATGGGGGAAAAAAAAAGGAGGAACAAGCTGAACGGGGAGGGGAGAGGGAAACGACCGGGAGGAAGGAAAGGACAAAATGGGCATCCGTCACAAAAGCCAGTCAGTCATTCATCCAACATCAAGCCAGGTTGTGGAAAAGCCTCTAGCTGCATCTGTAAAAGTGTCACGGCCTGTCGGGTTCAGAAAAAGGTTGGATCCAGTCCTGCATGCAGCTGGCTATCATCCACCACCCACATCACACCCGCTCACTGGACTTGTATCTCGTCTCTGGATTTAGCGGCACCACAGTCCGACTGGCTGGCTAACGACGACCGCCTGATTTCCTCGACCCTGGCTTTTACACATTGTGTCCACGGACTGTCCACGGACTATGTAATCGACTAATGTGTGATGAGTTGTTGACAAGGCGATTCTTCAATGACAAGCGACGGAAGCGTGATGATGGAAATGGACATTTCGATATGAGTGTAGTGTATGGAAATGATGATGAATTCCCAGAGACCCAGGTCCCGGTCCCGTCCCTCGCTAGCTCGTCGAGTCTGCCCCGTTCGACTCTCCTTGGGCTCCCCCCGTTCCCTTGGACTGGGACCGTGTCTTGGAAAGCTGGTTCGCTCTGTGGTTGGCTGTGGTGGAGACGGCACGAGGGTCAGGGACCCCATCCATCCATCTGGCTGCCGCCGTGCTGGGTGGCCACTCATTGTCGACTCCACCCTCCTTCCGCAAATGCCAGTCAAATGCCAGATTCTTGTCACGGAACACGCTGTTGCGCGACTCGACTCTTGTGCTGGAGCCGGCTCCTTTGCGGGTGAACCAAGCCGTCGGGGACCAGCTCGCCCAATGACTGGCTGCCCTCGCGTTACTTCGCACTGTCAGCATCCTGTTCTTTTCGGTGGCCGACCCGGCGTGGGAACAACGGGAGCGTGGGGCGTCCCAGACACACGGTGTCAAATCCCGTCCATCTACCAAACGGCTACCGTCACCGTCCTCGAGGACCATCGATTCGTCAACTTGGGAGATAATGGGTTTGGGCTTGAGGAGGTGGTGGTGGTGGTGGTGGTGGTTCTTCATCTGCCCTGTTGATGGCAATGAATGGTGGCAGGCCTCCTTGGTCACATCATTCTGGGCAGTCCACCAAACGACTGAAGTCTCGAGCCTGCGCTAGAAAAATCTGACACTTTGCTCCGGGCGGTTGGGTAGCAAAGATCAAGGGGACAATGAGGCACCTGCCGACTCTGGGGATCAAGTCGTGCGACCGCTATAACCCTGAGCCACTCCCCTAGCTAACCCTGGGCTAATATTGGTAATTTCACCCTTCTTTCCCGGTCTTGACCCAAATGGGCTGCTCATGCACTCCTGTCATTCGCCCAGCTGACCTTCCTTGCCACGTTGCATCGCTCCGCGCCCACCAGCGGCGTGAAGCGCAAAGCCATTGGTCCATCACCGCCTCACAAGGGTGAACCCGCAAACTCTTGTGAGGGGAGGGGATTTTCGCACCCGCACGGATGATCGGATCGAGGAACAACCCTTCTCGTCGTTCAATTCCTGTCCTCTGCACACTGCTTGCTGCCGTGGTGCCCAGAATCGATGTCAGGAATGTCTCCAACCGTACCATCTCCTTGGGACTGGACCTGAACCTCGACGCGAGAGCACGATAAGCGGCACCACAAGAACGCACCCTATCACCAAGTTTGTCACGGTGTGCCGTGTTTCAACTTCAGATGATTCGATGCACAACACGTTCACCGATTCTTTCCGCTTTATACTCCTCCTCTTCACCGTTCTTCCCGTCAACTTTTCGAAATGTGTAAAAAGTGGGCGCCCACCCTTCACTAGTCTACAGTACTTCAGCCAGCACTTCAACCTCGCTCGCCCGGCCATTCTTTGCCCAAACAGGCGGATATCACCTCTATGATTCGCCGTCTATTTATTTGAGAATCTCTCCCTCATCGATTATCTGTCATGGCTCGTGAGGCTTGCGGGATGGAAAACCCTAGGGCAAGTCAGCATGGCGAACATGGACGACATCAGGCCATGTGTGCGTTAGTCTAGTGGCGTTTTTTTACCTTGTCCACGCCCAAATTCTTGGGTGTGCGGGTGTTTTGGCCATGCATCTCTACGACCTTCCCGTCGCTACATATGCATCTGGCCGTGTTTCCGGGCCATGTTGACGGGTGCAGTGGTTGACAATCAAGGGGCCGTGAGTGATGCTGTGCCTCCTCCTCCTCCTTCGTTCATTGAGTGCCCTGGGATTTTCTAGCTTCGTCCCATTCAACGGTCGGCTTTGTGCATTTGCCCCCCCTTGTCCGTCCTTCACACATGAAACAAGCATTTACTATAAAGCCCGATGAAGCCGAAGAGATTGATTGAATGGCCAAGGGACCACAAGGAAGTTTTCAGTTACGGCTATCTTTCTCCGAGATAAGAGAGGCGGCTAAGACATCTTATCATGGCTGTGTGAACATCCAAATCTTCCCTCAAAGACATCACATCTGTGGATTACCAAAAGTCATGACGATCGATGTCGAATTGATGAACTACTGCCCTGGAAACACTGTAACGAACTCCGCAATCCCACAAAATCCCAAACACCACCCACCCACACTCCACGAAATCCACAGGCCATGAACTGGTGACCAAACCGCCGGGCCAACGCTCAGCCAACGGTTTTCCACTGTTTCACCACTTCCAGTACATGTGTTTCGGTTGATCGCTTGGGCCCTTCCAACTTGGTCGTCTATCACTGGACTCGCTTCTGGGCAAACCGCAAATCTGGCTAGGCATCAGTTTCTTTTCTTTCTTTCTTTTGTTTGTCACCAGAGAGTGTAAGCATAGTCGGCGCTGTTGCTCGATCCTGACGATGACTGCTAGGCGGGACGGTACAGTAATCATAAGCCCTAATTTCAGGATCGAATGATCTGCTCAGGGCGAGAGTATAGATTCAAAGACTCTCTTGCACTGTGGGATGAGCATAATGACCACTGTTCTCACGTACATGGTACACTTATTCTACTCTTTCAGTCTTGGGTTGAGCGATACCAAAACCATAACGAACCATCATCATCCTAAACACATCAATTTGTCAACAACTGTGAATCCCCCTGGCTTTCTAACCCGGTAGGATAGCCCCCAGCCCCTTTCACGTTCAATTTCCCCAAGCTATTTCTGTAATATGAAATGCCACAGGTGTGACCTCATATCTTCAGCTGACTGATGATCAACGGACTAACGCCCTCAGCTTGCACCATCAAGCCAGCGAACATCACCGGGATTTTCACTATTCCAGGGGTCTCTTTGTCTCACTCTTCTGACGCAAGCGCTATCTATGTCGTCTTGCTGTCATACTACTAGTGTACGCTCCTACGCTGTGGACGGCAAAGCATCACGTATGTATGTAGCAAGGAAGAAGCCGCCGACCCGTCAGTTCATGGGTTGGTTCGATCTGTGTTAGCGTACGCCAATGGAAGGTTTTTGTGTTTACACGTTTTCCTAGCATCACGCTGAGCTGTGAGTATGCCAAGCATAACCTAACTCCGGCGTCATCGTTCATGTGCAGTACATCAAACTCGAAGAGGAGTCGAGAACTCGATCATTGCGCAAGCGAACTTCAGGATCCATGTCCAAGTGGAAGGAGTCAAGAAGTGAGTTGCACCCCCGAGTTTATCGACGGGACCCAGAAGGAAAGAGAGGATGGACAAGACTGAAGGGGCTGCTGCGATTTCAGGTTTCTTCCGATGTTGATGGACGGGACGGAAGGTGCGATTTCCTATCAGCCCCACATTATCGTCCAGTATTAGTGTACCTCTACTGTCTTAGACGACAGGAACCCCGGTCGGTGATCTTTCTTCAAACACTCTCTCATGAGATCATGACGGCAAGAACAACCAGGTGGCCGTCTCCCGTGAAGTGGAAGGGAAACTTCTGTGAAAAAAGGCTCTGCGCAAAGCTATCACCATAATCATCTCGCTCTTCATCAGACACATTGATCTCTGATCACCTTGCTATTTATCTCCGCCGAACTCTCGCAGCTTGCCGAGCGTGCCTGGGCCAGTACAAGTACTCAAACTCTCAGTCCCTGCTTAGGATCACTGTCGCATACGAAACCAAAACCATCCAACCGATGACCGCACTGGTGTGAGTGACACGAAATGACATGCCATAGCATGGCACAACACCGATCCATTCATCCAGCTGCTGTTGTGGCAAAAGCATAATAATAGTGTAATGTTCAAAGACTCAATAACTGCTGTTCTTCTCAAAGGCCCCCATGTCCCTCAACCTCTTCAAGTTTGGCACAAAGTCGGCAGTCGGTCATACTCATCATACTTAGTTATTAGCCCTACCGTCCCAAGGCCCTAGCCTAGTCCCTGTCATTCACATCGCTACCGACTCTACAGTCTCAATCGATCCTGGGTCCCTGGCCGCACTGGTTTGGCGCTCGACAATCATGTCACTTCACCCTTGACACGTTACATCCGATCAATTCATCCGAACACTTCAGACGCCGTTCAGCTAATGTCGTAATATCGAACTGCTGCCTTGATGGTCCAACGCGCAAGGTGGTAGATGGATAAAAGGAAGGGATGTGCCACACTCCGAGTCATTTTGGGGGCGAACAAAACCACCTAGATTCTGGGCCATCGACGATGGGATAGTGGGTTACCTATTCTGTGCCTGACAAAGCGACAATGCCAGTCGGGAAGGGCTAACAGGACAAACGGAAATGTCATTCATCAGCTGAGACACATAGGAAGATCTCGACAACGACAAAGACGAACGACAACAATTGTCGCAATTGTCTACTGGGTAGCTCAAGATAAGAGATAATGGACCAGCTATTCCCGTCCGTCCGTCCGTCCGTTCATCCGTTCATCCGTCCGCCCGTCTCTCGGTAACATCGAGATTCCCGTCCGAGACGGGCCCCAGATGGGCGCGATGGACGATATGGGCGATGTGGACAAGACGGGGAAAGTCCTTGGTTTCCGTATGGCGAAATCACCCTACGAAGTCTTGGACATCCTGGAGCAATTTTCTTTGTTCCCACTTCGGGCTTTCCGCGGCCTTGTTTGGGTTTTGTTGTGCCAGAGTAGACAGCTGAGTCCTTTCTCCTCTCAGGAACCGGCAAGCTTTCAAGGACAAAGAGCTTCACACAAGCGGCTGTTGCATCCCACCCTAGGTCAATCACCGGAACCTATATCCAGTGCTGTAGACATGTATGCGGAGAGAGGAGGCGGCATCTTCCGTGGTTTTTGATGTTGATGATCTTGATCAGTTTATGCTTGACTAGATCCTCTTTGTGTCTTTTTATTTCTTTTTCCTTTTTTGCACTACCGGTGTAAGCATTCCGGGGCAGAGAACTTACCCACAGAGTTACATACGACGACCAGAGCAGGCCCTCCCACTTCCAGATTGCCGGATGATCCCTTCTCTCACGAAGTTTTCACGTCTCGGGCGTGCTGCCGGTATCCCCAGCCGGCATTCTTCTGGCTTACTACTGACGGATACACATCGTGCTTTGTGGCCATCAGTACCTAAAAGAGAGATCCGACGAACAGTAACTGAAAAACTTGAAGGCCAACCTCTTCTCTGCATGGTCTGGTCTTGACATTGACCTCAGCTCCCCATGGGCCTTGTCAAGACGGTGCTTAACCCACAGAAATTACCCGCACGCTTTTGGTATTTCGAGCAGCATCGTCAACCCTGTTAACCATTCCCACCTCAGGTACCGGTACCACGCCACTAAAGGCACCTGGACGGCGAACTATTCCGAGAATTTTGCCATAGAGCTGAATCAGATAATGCTTATCTTGAGTAAAGCTGTCCGCGGCAAAGTTAAGCATGAGGTCGGGGGCCAGCCACCCTCGGTGATTGTGCAATCCCCTTCCTCGTAATCGACAACAAAGGCGGTATCCGAACATGTACGCGGCTGCTGCTTCTAGGGGCGCGTTGGGGTCGCTGACGGGGTTGACCCCGTTGGGCTCTTCTCCACTGCCGCTGCCGTTGTCCCTGGCGCAGAACTACCCCGTAACCTTCGACGACAAATTTCCCCCGTTTCCGCAGCAGTTGCGGCGTCTTCTTTCATCCTCGTGGCCGCCATAGCGGGTATGGTCTCCTTCTCCTTCTCCTTCTTCTTCTGCGATGCGATTGGAGAGGGACTTGCAGACAGGGGGCTGGGGCAATCCGTAGGGTTTATGGGAGGCGTAGAGGTATTCCCCGGCCCTAGCAGCCGACTCCGAGGACCCTGAGGCAGTCCTACCGGACTCCGGCCTGGAAGGCCTACACCGGTGATCGTCCTGGAACTCGTGCTTGCAGCCACTGCAAACATAGAGCCAGACGGCCCAGAGGTAAAAGTCGTCTGGTTCGTCATCGTCGTCATCGTCGTCATCATCGTTGCCGTTGAAGACAACGTGGCCTGTTTGGGCCTCAACGAAGACATCGCGATTACGTGGGCTGAGGGAGGTGCTGAAGTATTTCGAGCAATCGCAGTAAACCCGATTGTGGAGGGAGAAGACTTTTGTTGGCCTTGAAGTTGTTGCCGGATCTGAGGATTGTCCGTGTTGTCATTGTTGCTATCGGTGGCCGCTGCCGCCGCCAGCGGTGACTCTGATCCTCTCGCAGAGGATTCTGCGGACGATGGGATTCGATTCACACGGGAGAACCCTAGAACAAACACGACAAGGACGGTTAAAGGCCGGCCACACGATTTCCACAGACTGGGGCTCCGAGGTGTCCCCCGCTGACTCTGAGATATGTTTCTCCGCTGGAAGAGTGTTCTCCGCTGGAAGAGTGTCCTCCCTTGAGGTAACTTCCGTTGTCCCCTTATCATCCTGTTCGTTTCTCTTCCTCCTTCTGAATTCCCTATTCGTCCTCATCGTGTCAGTGAAAGTTGAGTGAGAAGTATTGGAACCATGATTTGTATAGCAGATCATTTACAAAACAAAAAACCGAGTAAATAATTTCTGGAGTTTACCTTTTTAAAGGTTGCCTTCTGCTGGCACTGCAAATTTTTCACGAACCTTTCCATTCGCATGGCATACCAAATCTGGCATTAAGTATGTGCCCCTGTGCCAGTACGATCGATGTACAGCGATATATGCTATGTCATGGTGCACTGTATGTAGCATACAGTAAGTTTTCCGATGGTACTTTCCCGAAAGTTGGAGATGCAGGATACGAGATGGGTAGGGGTTATTCCACGAGTGATCACGACGATGGAGTCACAGAAGCGCTTGAAATATTTGGGAAATCTTTTCGCCATGTGTCTGCCTTGCCCCACCAGCTTACTGCCCTGCCTCAACCTGCATCAGCACCGATTAGGCAGACTGCTCGGATCGTTGTGAGGCATGTCACAGCTCTCATCGTTTCTTTCTTCATTGGTTGGGTTTCATGCACCTTGGCAGTTTTGGATCTGAGTATTTCAACGATTGGTGAGGGTTTTCAATGATCTGCAGGACATCTGTAACTGCATATGTGACAACTCGCAATGATACGTACTGAATTGAATAAGATGGTGACTATACCAAGATCAGGTAAGCTACAAGCAGCTTCGGGTAATTCTAAGACATTTCCTCATAAGGGTTCTCGGAAGTAAGCTAGCGAAGTAATATTCATGCTTTAGGGTTCCGTGTTGAGCGAACTTTTTATGTCGGTTTTCTTATGGTGCCAGGGACAAAAACGAAAGACGAAAAAAAGAGAGAAAGAAAAATAAGTTGTCGTAATTGACCTGTTCAGCATATGATTTCAATCTCAATGATCGTATGGAACCGCTGATCTGGTCTGGGCTAATAATCACGACGATCTGGAAAATGAATATAACGTACACGGACTGCTCTGCGCTCTTTTGGGCACCGTGGTAGCGTGGTACATGGCGAAAGTTTCTTGAGTGGCATCGACATGTTCTTCACCTGATCTTAGGGAATATATCCAGGGTGACGGAGGCTCCTCTATGTTTCCACCGGGTTCGTGATAGGGAAGTTAATGTCGGGGGCGGGGTGTGCAGTTACATGCTAATTCATTCGGTGTTGAATATCTGCATGCATGCTCATCTGGCGGAATGCTAAGCTACCAAGTCGGCCTATTGTTGAAGCATTCCAATCTGGGTGGGCTAGGAGCAGCAGAGCGTACAAGTAGTGTACACTAGAGATGATAATATATAAGAGAAAGGAGAATGGCCAAGGGGACGGTTCGAGGACCCGACGTTAAGGGTGGGTATACCCTCACCTCGGTGAGCACGGTCAAAGACAACCCCGAACTGGGGAAGGTGGGGCTCCTCCGCACTTTCTCTCCAGAAATTACCCACTTCTCCCCGCCACGGATTCCACTCAACCCGCAATTGACCACATCACGGACTGGGATTGTCCAGGAACATTGACTCAGTCAACGGCGGGTACGTACCTCTTATATCATATCGACGGCGGCGACGAGCACAACAACAACAACATCTACAGCATCACGACCATGTCCCAAGCATTCCGTTTCCCGGCCGGCCCAGCAAAGATCCGGACTCTCTACATCCGAGTCAAGCCAGCACCAACCAATCTGGCGGAGCGACGCGCTGTCCTCCGCGCCCTGAGCCAACATGGCAACATTGAGATGTTCAAACAACTCTACGACTCCTCCTCCTTCATCTCCGTAGCATCATCCCAGAACGTAGCTGCCAGCATCGTTCGAAGAAGTCCTCTTCAGTTCGATGTTCTCGCTCGAAACTCGTTCGACCCTCGTGTCCCCGACTCCATCCGACTACCACCACCCATCGATACATCGACAGCCGTCTCACTACCTAGCGTCGCTGCCACTGGCACTATCACGAATTCAAACTCTAAGCCCGGGCAAACAGACCTCAATTCACGACAGCTGCCACAATGCCCGTCCTCATCCAAACTTCCAACTCTGCCCGAGCGAGACCCGACCGCCCTCGTAACCAAGACCTTTGTCCTTGAAGCCTTCCACGCCCCCGAATACCCGCACAAGGAACACATCCGCATGTCCCCTCTGTACGGGCCCTGGCCACGCGACGATTCCGATCCATCTTCCTACGACACCCCCACGTCACCAAATAGGCTGACCCTCACCTCCGCCGCCCTGCGCGCTTCGGTGCCTCAAGACATGGCCTACACCGGTCTGCACGACTGGGAATCGGCGGGCCAAGATGCCATAGACGTCGAGGAGGCCGCAGCTATTGAGGAGGGGATCTCGGCGGACTCGGCGACGATGGTGAGGACGTGGAGAGCGTTTTGGAGGGAAAGGGTAGACAAAGGGGATACATTGCAGTATAAAACTGGGACAAAAGGTGATATGGGCAGCGCGTATAGCCATATCATGAAGAGGAAGATGAAGCAAGAGAACAAAAAGAATCTTCAGAAGATGCTGTCTATATAGGTCACGATAACATAACAAAACCAGGCCAGGGACAAGCTCAAAGACACAAGATGGGGATGGAAAAGGGAAGATGAGTGAGTGAGAAGGCGGCTTAATCTATAAGTCAAGGGCAAATCGTCGGAAGAAGACGACAAATGCTGCTGGGAGTCTTGTTCCAGCACCGGGAACACGCCCATCCCAACACACTCCGGTCAAGTTCAGGATTGGGTGAACATGCCATTCTTACCGCCACAAGCTTTACGGTATGTTTCAATGAGCCCTGGCTAAACTCTGACCATGCGTATATTGACTAAACTGCCATTATAGTGGCAAGGGCTGTAATAATTAATGACTTCAATCTTGGACTTTTCCATGCGCTCAATGGATGACAAAGTCCCGCCTCCTCAACCTCCTCTCCTCTTCCCTTTTCTCATACAATACCCTTCTCCGACGCTTCCCCAAACAGCAGCCCACCAATGACAGCCCCACGACCATTGGAATACCGATCGCGAAACCAAGGCCAAAAGCAAGCCGTTTACTAACCCCCGAGCGATGTTCATTACCGGGTTTATTAGAGGGGGTTGGCTGCTCCACGGATGACTCTCAGTCAGCGCTATTGTCTCTTCGATATGACGCTAGTCGAAGAACAAGACAACATACCTCATCTCCTGGAGAAGTCGAAGGCTTGCTCCCCTCCGTCCCACTAGCATACGGCGGCTGACCAAGTGTGAAGAACGGAGACTTCGCCAGGGGCGTCCCATCCGCAGACCCGTGGAGTTCAACCTGGTAAAGTCCCTCGGGTGACCAGCGAAGGGGTGATGGGATCCCAGTCCATTCGAATGCGTTATAGGAAGAGGAGTTGATTTCCGTCGTGATATTCATCCTGTATACCGTCACCGTCCCAGTGTCCCCACTGCCATCATCAGTCTCGCTATTGTCGATGAGCTGTGCGGTGATGAACAGTGGGTAGAAACCGGGCGGTACGAGAGCGGTGGTAGTGTCCCAGGTTAATCGGACGGCTAAGCCATAGCTGAGACTCGTGAAGGAGTTGGTGAATTCGGCCGTTATGAGGGTGGTGAAGAGCAGGAAGGTTAGAGAGGTCAATCCCAGGAGTCGGCACGCGAACGGCATCCTGGAAGGAGGAGCCGGCGCCGTCCACCCTTTTACGACGTCCTTTGTGTCCACCCTTCCAATTTAATCCAAGATCTTGGGTCAAGGAGAGAAACGTAGGGTTGGTAGGGGTTTTTTTTTTTTTTTTTTTGCCTAGGTTGGTGGGTCAAGAGAGTTTGAGGATGGTCCGATTCCTCGACATATAGTACACCCGGTGGCTGGATTGTGAATCAATTTGGTTATTCACTAGCTATGCCCGTGTGAATGACGCGGAGCAGTGCGAAGTCTGTGTGACGAGAGTACGATGGGTTTCAGACATCTTTTTGACGAGTCGGTGTTAACCATATCATATGAAACAGCAGTCTGTCGCCACTAGAGTGTTTGCCATCAGCTGAGCGTCTGGCTGAGAACCGCACTCGAAATTCTGGAAAACCAATATTTAGGCCACCCATACGATTTTGCACGATAAGACACGGCTGGGTTAATAAGGATGAATGGGCCACTCAATCCATTGCCGGGCCACGACCTCGGATCTTACCTGCCAGTTCATATGCAGACATATAGTATAGTATAAGTTCATTAGACTGTTCCGTTCTCGCTACCAAGCGGATTGCTCAAGCATCGTCTAATGCAGTTCCCTAGTTCGCTTTCTTTTGGGATTTGAGCTATTGAATGTTCTTTATTCCCGCCACTACTTAGACGGCCAATTTTGTAGACCCGACGAGTACTTACACAAATGTAAGATGAGCCGACTCGACTGTCTGAAGACTCATAACGCCGATGGCAGCAAAGCTGCGGTTTCATGTGTTCCCTCTTGACTGTATGGTTCAACCTCGCCTGCAATGTTGACCTTTACCATAGTTTTGCTCTTCAGAGAAGAGAACACGCTAAATGCAAACCGATTCCATAAACCTTCTACATGTACTCATCTAACACATTCCGTCACGTCTTGAATTGTGAGCTGTAGTACCGCGCCCTTGTCACGGCACCGAACTAAGAATAACAACAAACAACTGAGACCATCCAGCATAAAGCCTTTGGAAATCGATCACACATGACTTGTTTGAATAGAAGACTCATCCCTCTCATGTTCACACAACGTGGACATGAAGACTTATTGACATATACCATATTCACTGGGCCAAAACTCGGGATCCCGTCCCCTCTCCCCTAGACAAGCCAGTGACCGCCAGGCTAGTAGTCGGCTCGGTGATGACCGGTGAACCACCTGGTGTTGTATGATCTCTTTTCTTCTTGCTTTTGCCTGTTAGGGATGTTGGTGTCTGCCTCCATTGAATGTGTAGAGTTGGTGAAATGATTATTTTGTCGCTCTTGAAAACCCTTCCATAACTGCTGCTGCCTCTTTTGTCTATGTACTGATGACCTCGCAACGTATCCCGATCGCCCAACCCCTAAATAAGACTGCGTAACCTGGTATTGTCCCTCTTATCCATCGGGATATATCTCTCTGCCAACACCTCCTGCACGCTCTTCTTCATGACGTCCTCCCTCTTGGTATACCTCTCCTGCAACGCCTTGTCAATATCCGACACGTGCAACAGTTTCCGGTCCATCGCGGCCTCAAACTTCTCTTCGGCGAGTTCAACCGCCGCCTTGCCCATGCCCACCGCCTCCTCCACCTTCTCGATGCCGTGGCGGCCCTTCTCAACCGCCTTGTCGACCACGCTGTTCACCACGCCCCTGACCACATCAGCATCGTGCCTCACCTCCTCAGCGACCCTCTGCGCCACACCCTTAGCAACCTGCATTTCCTCCCTGGCTTCCTGGCTCCACAACCTCGCCGTTTCGGCCGCCCGCCTCCTCATCTCCTCCGACCTGACATGCGCCTCCCTAGCCATGATCTTGCCCGTTTCCTTGCCCTCCTCCGCCGCATACCTCACCCTTTCAGCCGCGATCCTGGCCGCCTCCTTCGCCGCCTCCTTCGCCTTCACCGCAGCATACTCGCTGCGATCGATCGTGTAGCCGAACAGACTGGCAACAGCGTCCTCGGCCTTTTCGCGGACGGACGACCAGTCCTTCGTCTGCGCCCACCGCACCGCGTTTTGGATTTCCTGGTTCCACCTGTCCTTGACAGACTCGACGAAGCGGTGGCGCGCGCGCTCGACCAGCTCGGAGCGAGGGGGAGGGAAGTAGGCTAGGTCTTCATCGTTGATGGGGTAGCGCGTGCGCAGGTTGGTGGGGAGAGTGTCGCGGGCGAGCGTGTTGACGAAGCGGGTCTGCGCGCGTAGGAGGTCGGATTGGTGCGTGCGGTTGCGCTGGTGGGCGGAGATGGCGAGGTAGGTGAGGCCAAGGGTGAGGGTTGCGCCGCCGGTCTGTTTTGTAAATACTAGAGTTAGCTAGGTGGCCTAGACACATATGATTGTTTACCTTGGAGTTGCAATGACATACGACGCCGGCTACGAAACCCATTGCTGCGACTGGACGTGGGATGAAGGTGGGTTCAGGTTCTTAGGTAGTATAGAGACTTGGTGAGATCTACTCGAGGTAGTGTAGTGTCGCAATAGAGACAGACCCAAAGGTCTCGACTCTACCGAACGAAGGGTGGTTGAGTGAGTGGTTGGAATGGAAGAACGTGGCAGATAAAGACAATTGAGAAGAAAGGGTGACGTAGTTGGGAATTGGGACGAAAGAATGGCGTTACTAACTTTCCGTTAGGCGGCCCCTGGTGGGTTGCTGTTAGCGAATCCCGCCCGCTGCGGGACGTGGTGCCACTGAGAGTGTCCGGTTGCGGGATCCGGAGGTGCTGTGGATCTCCTTGGCGCTGTTGATCCAGCACTTTTAGGCGGGCCACTAGCGGACCTTACGGCGGTAGACCCGCGGTAGCGGGCGGACCAGGACCCCAAAAGCACAGGCCCAGGGCCGAGAAAATTTCGGGTCCCGCACCGCAAAAGCTCCGCTCGACGTCGCCTTGGGGTGTCCGACATCCGCGCTACAGCGACCCGGTCCACTGCCAGGAACCCTGCGAATTCAGTGGGTGTTGCCCCGTTTGCGCCGAGCCCCGAATCTTGAACTACTCGCAATTCGAGATCTCTCTTTCTCCGTCTTCCGGCAGCCGCACCGACCGACCCGATTGACGACTGCACGACGACCGACCTGTCCGGCCACCACAGGACCTCCACTCCACGCCTCTCTACACAAGTACCTCCCGTCCTGCGACTGCGCTTCTCCCTGACCAAGGGACAGCCCGCCAGGACTTACACAACTCGAGGCCATACCAGGGACTAGTTCCTCCACCAAAACACCACAGACACAATGGCCGGCGCCCACGTCAAGTACAGGCACTTGAGCCGTAGCTCGGCGCATCGTCAGGCTCTGTTGCGCAACCTTGTCACTTCGCTCATCAAGAACGAGACTATTCATACCACCTACCCCAAGGCCAAGGAGGCCCAGCGCCTGGCCGAGAAGCTCATCACCCTCTCCAAGCGCGACACCGAAACAGCACGGCGCAGTGCCCAGGGTATTCTCTACGTATGTTGTTTATGCTCCCAGCGCTTCAGTTTGATTCTTTATTCGCACAGCAGCTGATCCATACCCTTCCTTCTATGTGTCTCTCTAGACCCCCGACCAGCTCCTCCCCAAACTCTTCGGCGAGATCCGCGAGCGCTACGCCAACCGGCCAGGAGGCTACACGCGCGTCCTGCGCACCGAGCCCAAGGACCAGTACTCGCAAGCGCCCTCTGCCATCCTCGAGCTTGTTGATGGGCCCAAGGACATGCGCTTTGCCATGACGGCGGCCACGGTGGCGCGCGACCGCGAGCAAAAGACGGAGAGCACGGACCTGACCAAGAAGAACATGGACAAGGTCACGCGCTTCCGCAAGGATGGCATGCGCGCCTTCGAGGACATGGTCGCTAGCCTCAGGGATATGAAGTTCACCGCGGGCGCGATAAATCCCAAGGAGTGGAAGAAGCTTGATCGTTAAGCGGTTGGGGCAGAGTGGTGTTGTGGTGCAGCGGGGTTGCGGGAGAAATTGAGAGAGGATGGGTGGAGGGCTTGGTTTCCTCCTGAAAGAGAGAGGCAGGCAGGTGTGCGTGAATAGCTGGGAAAAGGCTTCATCACCTGCCGCCTTCGAAGTCATGGGAAGGGAAAGGGGTTTGGTCTCTCCACTCTCTTTGTGGTTTGGGGTAGACGCTATATGTGTGAAAGCTTTTAACTAGCCAGCCTACACACTAATCAGGCCACTCTGCTGTCGGTTCAGCAGGGAAAAGGGGGTGGAAACCAAAGTGTACAAATATCACGAGACAAGAAGCAAAAGGAGAGTGTAAATATACAAGGTTTGGGATACACTTTGGCTTCACATTAAATGGGATTTGGGAGTCTGGCAACCCATATGCCCCGTTTCATGGACTGGTGACTTTCAGGATGTTGTCTTATTGCTCAATACGTATGTACAGTAGTAGTAGGTATTCTATTCCAACAACTACGTATGCAGCCAACTTTTTAATCCATTATGTAACACCCAATCCCCTTGACAGTTTTGATCATCCGACGCCTTTATACATCCCATACGACTGACTGGACCTTTTTACACAAAATCAAAAGTATCGCCCTGCTCCGTGATCATCTTACCCGCCCTCTTGGTCCCCACGATCCTCTCCAGCTTCATAATATCATACTTGCTGAACATGACCTTGACGTGTCCCTGCCCGTGCTCTAGCATCAGCGCCTGCTCGCTCTTTTGCAAATACCCGCCCGCAATCTCCCTGTAGAAGATGGGGTTATCCGGCAAGCCATAAAAGATGACGCGCTTGACGCCCTTGATGGCGTACCGCCTAAAGTGGTGAGCGCGCTCCGTGTACAGCAGCACGCGGTGGCGGCCCGTCAGGAAATGCGAGCGCGCGCGCGACGCTTCGGGTGTGTCGGCGTACTCGGAGATGTTGCCGAACGTGACGCTCTCGACGGCCGGGTTGTTGGCAAAGTAGTTGCGCACGCGCACAAAGTCGAGGTACGAGGGTATGAAGATGACCGTTCCCGCCGCGTCCTTGGCGGCCCGCTTGACCAGCGTCGGCACGATGGCCTTGGTGAAGTAGGCGAAGCGTGCGTCCGGGTCGGCGGCAATGGAGGCCGCGTCGAACCGGCTGAAGGTCTGGCGCGTCTTGACGCCCAGGTACTGGATCACGCCTGGGTATTCGGCTTGCAGCCGGGCTTTGCCTGCCCAGTTGTGGCAGTAGAGACGCTGCAGCTCGGCCAGCTCGGGCGTGTTGAAGGCGCTAAAAATCACCGTCTGTCGGAAGTACTTGGCTTGGTCGTCGAGGTACCAGGAGCGCACGCGGGAGAAGTCGCAGCCGTGGGCGTCGCGGGGCTGGAGGTTGAGGTGCTCAAAGATGAACTCGACGTGCTCCCAGTTCTGCATGAGCAGGGCGTCGGCCTGGTCGACAATGACGAGCTCAATGGACGAGAGGAAGTCGTAGTCGAGCTTCTTCTTCTCTTCCTCGGAACCGATGGCCATGCGTAGACCGAGAGGGGAGGCAAAGATGATGTCCGAGTTGTAGAACTGCGAGAAGTACTTGATGGTCTTGCGAGTGAACTTCATACCGAGGCGGAACATGTCGTCGTCGTTGCCGGCGAAGAGGTCGCGGAAGTCTTCGGGCTTGTCGTCAGAGAACTTGGTGGACTTGTCGACATAGCCATCGTCGAAACGCTTGCGGTTTTCTTGTTGCTCAGGAGCGGCGACCTTGCAGATCATTTCGACCATTTTGACGCATGACTGGCGGGTAGGGAGAATCATCAAGACCTTGGGGCGGGTAAAGCCCTGGTCTCTAAGCTCAAGGGTGTCGTCTCTTTGCAACTTGGTGTTGTTCTTGATTACACGGTCACGAGTCCTGAGTAGGTACCAAAGTCAGCTCTCTGTTCT